GGCTCCAGGATGGGAGCAGCCGGGCTCTGCGTCGGCGCACAGTTGGCGTCCACCTGATCTCCTGCCCCCCGGGGCCCCTCGGCACAGCCTGCTGATGTCTTCCAAGGAGAAGAAGGACGACAAGAAAGAGAAAAAAGAGGACAAGGAGAAGAAAGAAAAGAAAGAGAAGAAGGAGGACAAGGAGGACAAGAAGGACAAGAAAGAGAAGAAAGAAAAGGACGATGATGACAAGAAGGAGAAGAAAGCGAAAAAGAGAGATAAGGATGAAGACGTCTTTGACCTCTACGGGGACGCCGACGGGGATGGCGCCGCGAATCAGTTCGCATCCAAGCCAGACAAACCACAGGATAAGCGTGACAAGGATATTAAAAAGCAGGAACAGGCCAAAAAGGATGGCCCGGTAACTTTGTCTGCTAGCGACGCCATCAATGCGCTGATGGAAAAGAAGAAGGAGGCTGCGAAAGAAGAGAAGCGAAAGGAGCAGGAGAAGGCGGCGAAGGCAGCTAAGGAGGCCAAGAAGGCGCAAGAGGCGAAGGAGGAGGCCAGCGAGGAGTTCCAGGTTATGGAGAAGGGTGGCGCCGGGAACTTCATGTCCAAGGTGGAGGTTCTGGATGTCATGAAGAATTGCGTCGGCGGGGCCACCAGCTCGTCTGGATCGCGTTGCCAAGTTTCTGCGTCGACCAAGATAGGCGACAAGATTTTCGTGGACAACTCGAAATGCATTTTCACATCGCTCGGCGACCTCAAGGCCATCAAGGGCTTCGTTTATATCAGGGGTGTCAAAGACTCTCCTGGTTGTGAGATCACCCTTACTAGGCCATCCACCGTCTACGTTTGCCTCAGCAAGACCAACGAAGACGACCCCTTCCTGCGATCCTGGGAAGACGTGGACACTAGTGAGATGAGCCCGCCAGAGGTTGAGGGTATGAAAGAGGTGGTAGAGATCAAGAGGAAGTCCTTCAAGGATGCGGACAAGGCGGACGTGAAGGTTCCCAAGCCGCCCAAGGGCGTGGACACGGTCCTGGTGTTCATCATGCCCGACTTCCACGCGAAGGCATTCACCGCGAAGCAGGAGACGGAGGAGGAGCGCCTTGCCCGGGAGCGGGACGAGGCCGCTGGCAGGAGGGCCGCCAAGGATACGAAGACGAAGTCCGACGAGCCCACAGCCGAGGAGAAGATAGAGGTTATCCTGGCCAAGGTCGAGAAAGGCGAGAAGCTCAGTAACAAGGAAAAGAGAGCGCACGACAAGTACTTGCAGAGCAAGGGAGCGCAGTACAAGGACGACGATGACGACCAGCCTGTTGGCGGCCTCAACGCGTTCTCCATCTCTCTCGAGGGCGGCAAGAACGAGCCTCCCGATTCTGGCGACTCGTTCGTGTGCAAGAACTTCACTATCTCTGCGCCTGGGCAAACTCTGTTCGACAGCGCGTCCATTACTGTCACCCAGGGCCACAGGTATGGCATCCTCGGGCCGAACGGCATGGGCAAGACCACGGTCCTGCGCCACATTGCTGCCAGGGAGATGCCGGTCCCGCTCAATTGGGATGTCATCCTCGTGGAGCAGGAGGCCAAGGCAACGGAAAGGTCTGCCGTCGAAGAGGTGCTGGCAGCGGACACCAAGACCGCTGACCTCCTCAAGAAGGAAGATGACCTGATCAAGAAGATGGAGGAATTTGATCGTATGATGGCGGAGGGGAAGGCGGAGGTCTCTGTGGAGGAGCTGGAGAAGGTCAGACTGGAGCTGGAGACCGTGTCTGCCGACCTCATGGCCAGCGGCGCCGACGCCGCAGAGGCGTCGGTCAGGAAGATCCTCTGCGGCCTCGGATTCACCGCCAAGCCCGCAGATGAGGACCGCTTCTCCATGGAGAGGCCTGTGGTGCAGTTCTCTGGTGGATGGCGCATGCGTATCAGCCTGGCGAAGGCTCTCTTCCTGTGCCCTAAGCTGCTGCTCTTGGACGAGCCCACGAACCACCTGGACCTCGACGCCGTGCTCTGGCTGGACGACTACCTGTCGGAGCACTATCCCCATGCAGTCGTCGTGGTTTCCCACGATGCCGACTTCCTGGACTCAATCTGCACAGACATCCTGCACCTTGAGAACAAGAAACTCGTCCACTACCGCGGCGACTTCACGGGCTTCAAGAAGATGCACGATCAGAAGAAGTTGGAACAGGATCGCGAGTACAAGAAGCAACAGGACGAGATCAAGCTGCTCAAGAAGAAGGGCAAAACCAATGACCAGGCAGTCGAGGCCGTCAAGACGAAGTACGGAGTCGACATGCTGGACGACCTCCCGTCAAAGCGAAAGGACTACGTAGTGAATTTCAGATTCGTCGGACACGGGACCGATCGCCATCTGGGCCTTAACGTGTCCGAGGTGGCGTTCAGCTATGATGGCAAGAAGCCGTGGCTTCTGCAGGACTGTGAGATCGGTGTGGACTGTGGCTCGCGTATCGCGATGGTTGGCCCCAACGGTGCAGGCAAATCGACGCTGCTCAAC